GCTTTTGCAGTGTATATCTCCAGTACTGCATATTGTACAGGCTTATAAACACAGATGGGCGCAATCTACAGATGCTTAGTTCAAAGTCAGTGTGTATCTTTGTGTTCTGCTTTCGCATGAAGCAGTGAGAAAATACTTAGTGACTTGCCTCATTGTCTTTGATGTATTCTTGTGCTGCTTCAAACGCACCAATAAATACTAGGGTATCTGTACATTCTTGACTGAGTGATGCATGTATGGAAACTGGACTGTCAAATTAGATTTCCTTTGCTGCCAAATTGTTTTCAGATAGCTTTCACTTTTACTGTAGTAGATGAAGCCTTGTGCAGCTCAGTGCCATATTAATATGTGATATTAAATTCATTTTTTTGTATTGATTAAATGTGTTTATTTTGGAAACTAGATGGGGTTGCATTGAAAAGACCCAGGTTGTAAAATGTATTACAGGGTAACTTAAATACTATTTCCTCTGTTGCTTGAACCTGCATTGTAAGTATTTCTCTTTCTTCAAGACAAAACTGTCTTTTTGCTGTCAAGTAATTCCTTATTTATATTTACCAAGCAACCCTAGGCTGCAAAAGACAAATCAAATATTACCTCAAACATATTCACACTACTATTCACATTTAGTGTCACTTTATAACTCCATGAAATCAACATAAACAGTAAAGATATTGGCGGCACAATAAATCAACACGGTGTTTATATACGTTTAAATAATATCTAAAAGAAGGTACGAAAAGGTAAAAGACGACATATTCTATTATATATATATTATTACGTAGTCTGACGACATCGATAATAGGAACCAATAAGAGGCGTTCGTTCTTGTTACGTCAGCACGTCGCCGGGACGCACGGATGTACGAGACAGGCCAGCGCGCGAAATATATATCGCAAACAAAGCGAAAGCAGGGGAAGACACCTTACTTAACTTCTGGATATTTAGCCACAAATCTAAACTTTAAAAAGAAATACTTTACCAGAGTAACGGTGAAGCTGTCGGGATGGGTTTGCTCGAGCGCTGCCACGAGCTCTTCAACACTTCAAACCTGTACGAGGTGCTGGCCGTCAACAAAGAGGCGACCGAGACTGAGGTCCGGAGGAGCTACTACAAAGTTTCGCTGAAAGTGCACCCGGACCGGGCTCCCGAAGACCCGCTGGCCACGGAGAAATTCCAGGTGAACTCTCGTTGTTGGCTGTTAGACACGCAATGAACACAAGCTAGCTTAACGAGCTACCGTTAGCTAGCACAACTAACACAGCTAGCTAAGTACAACAGTGAGTAAACTCTATTTACTACAGTTTCCCCAAACTGTATAGATCAGATAATTACAAGTGCAAGTGTCTGTGGATTGTTTTGTCTAGTTAATTAAATACCTGACAGATTGTACTACATAGCATTGACAATCCTGTTAATCCAATAATGTCAGGTAAATATACCTGCTCATTAATTGCCCACAATTGGCAAAATCAGACTATGGAGGAATTTTCCATGTCCCATACTGTTTTGTCGTATCACTTAAACACAATATAGATCAAATATATACACACACGGGTCAATGCATCACTACATTCTATTTTATTATATATTATGATTACATACCATACTTTCTGTTGAGGCCTGCAGATGTGTGTAAATCTGTGTATCTCGCCCTTTCCCCCTCCAGGTGTTGGGACAGCTGTATGCGGTGCTGAACGACAAGGAGCAAAGAGCTGTGTACGATGAGCAGGGGACGGTAGATGAAGAGTCTGATGTCCTGAGTCAAGACCGCTGCTGGGAGGACTACTGGAGACTGCTCTTCCCCAAGGTAACGGAGCACATCGGGTGTTTACTTTGTTGTAAACGTGACTTGCATCCTTCTCCCAGATTACGGTGAAGGACATCCTCGAGTTTGAGAATAAATATAAGGGCTCTGAAGAGGAGCGGCAGGATGTGATCCAGCTGTACGAGCAGCACCAGGGGAACATGGACACAATCACAGCTTCGGCAATGTGCTGCTCCCAGGAAGATGAGCCAAGGCTCTGCGGTATCATCCAGGCTGCTATCGAGGGCGGAGAAGTCACCGCGTTTCCGGCGTTTACGAAGGAGAGCGACAAGAAGAGGAGGGCTCGCAGGAAGAGGGTGAGCAATGTGTTTGGGGTTAAAGCCATGAAATCATCACAGCTTATATTGTATTTGTTTTTCTAGATATTCTCTCACTGTTTACACTTTTCTACGTATGTCCGTGATGTTGATTGCAATTAACCTTCCAGGCCAATAGGGAGCGACAGGAAGCAGAAGAAATGCAGAAAGAGATGGGGCTCGGTGATGAGGATGACAGTCTTGTCATGATGCTTAAGGTAACGAATGCACACGTATGAAGTTGTTCGGGGAGTTGTTTGTGTTTCCCTCTCTAAAAAAAAAAAACACATCCTTTCATTCTTATTTTCCAGCAAAAACAGAAGTCCAGAGAGCAGAGTTTCCTCTCTGACCTGGAAGCAAAATACTCCAAAAAAAGTGGGCCCCAAAAAGGAAAAAGAGGGAAAAAGTGAGAAGCGTTGAGGCTCTGGTTATAGCAGATACAGTGTATATAAATAGTGGCACTTCTTAAAAAATAACGTTTAGATTAATAAGAGCATTCGATGTATGAGCTGCGTTTGTCGAGCTGCTCTCTTTGTCGGCCTCACGAGCTTTTCATGTGACGCTTCTCAAAATGTAAATGTATCTTTTATTTCTTGTTTTTTTTTTTTTTTGTCAGTCTTAATAAAAAATGAATGAACTCATATTTATATACTTTGTCAGTACTCCGGTTTTTAATATTTTTTGTATAAAAGAAAATGCATCGAAGATGAGCTTTGATTTTCAAGCTTTGTCACCTGTGTCGCATGGCTGTCAGACTATATTTCATTAACGAATGAAGGGAGAACTACCCTGATGTTCCCTGTCAAAGCATCCCCACATGGCTTTGTTCAGGTAATAAGCAAAATGTACCTTAAATATTCATTTGTACAGACATGATGAATTAGTTATTTGCAGGTTCTTCTATTCCTACATTTATCTTGAGGTATAGATGTGAAAGCACGTGGGCTACAGAGATTTTCAGCCACCATATTCTGATTAATATGATTTTAAAGTGAGTTGACAATTGTGTCCTTATAAAAGATACAGTACCGAACTCCCTGATGTAGCATCAGAGAGGAAAGAAAGTGCTTTTCATCCTCTCCATCCCCGTCTGGGTGGATGTGTTATTCCCTGCATAGTCATTTACCAGCACAACAACACACTGTGGAGGATAATATACTGTACATTCACATAAATATATATATATATATATATATACACATTCAGACCATACGTACAAATGTCCACACATACAGCTCGTACTGTACATGACAACGGAGTTACTCATTCATTCCACCAGACAGCCACATGAGCTGATTTCTGAAATACAAAAATAGGCCCTTAACCAAAAGCAGCATAATATGAAAAAAAAAAAAAAAAAAGGAAGGGCACAGATGCTGCACTTTGTTGGAGTGAATACAGATTGAATGGCTGAAGGGTTCGGAGGCGAACTACAAGCCAGGTCTGCCGGCCCTGGTCGGGATGCTTCCTCTGGTGTAAGACCGAGGTGGGACTGACACAGGCACCGGTGTCGCTGTGGGAAAGAAGGACGACAAATAATAAAGATACTGACTTAAATCATCCTACCAGCAGGTACAGCTTACTTGAAGCCAGCTGCTGCAGCCTCTTTCATTCATAGTGTATTCGGTCTGGAAGAGATTCATCAGTGCTTTAATCCACTGACCTGGGACGGGGGCTTGTGGGTCTGGCTCCTCTTCGTCTTTGATGGGCAAGTGTCCCAAGGGGTGGTGGGGAAACGAGTCCAAGAAAGATGAGCTGCTGATGCCCATACTGATGCCCGTCACACCGATACCAAGAGAGTCTGGTGGAATGAATGAATAAATTAATTAATGCGTAAGTGAATAACTGATGTACTACGAGATCCATATCTGGGTATGTGCAGTACAAGTACAGGCAAATGAAAAGTAGTGGTCTCAGTGTACAGTATCAGTGATTCCCAACCAGGGGATAGACATTTATATACAACATATATATATATATACGTATATATATATATATATATATTTGGGGGCCACTGTTCATGGTATACGACATCCCTTTTCCAGGAGCATTTTTATGTTTTCATACGCAACTATTGAAGTTGAATTTCTGACCTGTGGCTACGGAGGCTCTGCCCGGCCGCCCCTGCCCGATGTTGTCCAACACTGTGAAGGAACGACGGTAAGGAGTGTCGGACTGAAAAAAAAAAAAAAACAGGGGTCAAACACATTGTCTCCTATACTCAAACATCGCCACATTTGCCAACTCATTACTTTTAAGACCTAAACCTAATGGGTTAAAAAAAAGAAAACCTCTCTCCAGAGAGATACACAGAATCATTGGGCTGCCACCTGTGATAATACGCCATATGTGTATGCAGGACGTGTGATATGTGACGATAAAGAGCCTCTCACCCTGTATGTGTGAGTGGTGTTGGGCCGAGAGAAGACGTCCAGCAGGTGGTGACGATCCCTCGGTATTAAGCTGCCAGCTTCGTCATTTATAGCACTGTGGGCGCGGCTGGACGGGCCTCTGAGACGCTGGTCAGGAAAAAAAAATGACTTATGTATTTAATAGAAGCTACAATATAATTGTTTCTCAGCTTCCTTTGATCTGTGTGTCTGCTCAGGTGCTGTAACAAGCTTTCCATTGTCGGAGTAGTTGTGGTTCACCTGTGCAGGTTTGCACTGCTGCCCCGAGTGAGATGACTCTGGGTCTCCGCTGATGATGGGGGGAAGCAGTGTGTTCCTGCTCAGAAGCAACAAGGGAGACGTCAGGCAGTTGCTGGCTGTGGGTCTGTGGAAGAAGACACACACACACACACACACACACACACACAGACACACACGGACAGTAAGTGCAGATAGATTGTTCTGTGGTGCATCTATGGCGCTAACATGTACTTCCTTCTGAAAAGGCCGTGGGAGTTGCGGAAATTCACAGCTTAGGTGTGAGAATGAAAGTCAAAGGTAGAATTTTACTTTATGTGATAGCGTAGATACTTTTAGAATAAAGAGCAGACGTGAAGAGAAAAAATGTAGATGATCCCACTTTCATATATGTCTGTTAAATATGAAGCCGGAGCCAGGAGAACGTTTGCTTAGCTTAGCATAAAGGCTAGAATCAGGGAGAAACAGCTAGCCTTGTGCCACCCAAAGATTGAACTCACAGACGTGTCCCACGGACGACGTCATCCATGGATCCCGCTGCACAGGACGGACTCAGACTGGGAACCAGCGGCAGGAGGGTTCGGGGCGGAGGGTTTCTTCGTCGGGCAGACTGTGCCGGGCGGGACAGCGAGGAGGAGCTCTGCTCCAGGGCTCTGCGAGGGCACGGTTTGCTGGAGGGGACCACGCTGGAGGCTGGTCTGAGAGACACCCGCTCTTCTGGCTCCCTGTGTGGCGAGGAGAGAGAGTGGAGCATAATCACTGAATGGTGCATTTCCACCTGCTGCCAACTGGCTGTGTCCTCTGCCAAACAAGGTGTTAGGACCAGGGACAAAAACATGGCATGAGTGAGGCTATGTCTCTCTATAATGCGTTTGTCTGTAAATGTAAAAACAAGGACCACAAGATGTCTGTGCCTCTTTCATTCCCATTGGAGGTTTAAAAATCACATATTACGGATACACAAATGTGTGGGCGGAGGTGTCATTGATTTTGCTTTTATTTTTCCATTTTGGCACCAATGCTCGGAAGAGTAAAATGTGTCCATACTGGTTTCTTTCCAGCACACCAAGGTTCCTCTGCTGCAGGGGGATGCTGTGGATCACGATTAGGTCGTTCAGGTTGTGCTGGGTCGCTGCTGCTCCTACTGGGACCCTTACAGCCTGCAGCATGGTGTGAGAGGAAGTAATAAAGTAGTGTGATAAGAGGAGAGAGGAGTCAAGGAGAGGGAGAAAAAGAAAGAAAGATTAGGAGGGATGTAAGAGGGGACAAGAGACATAATATAGGTCAGATATAAATACATTATGTTATGAAGGCCAGTGGCCACATGGTTATGATTTCATATGTAGAATACAGCACATTGTCAAAGCATGCAGTGATGTCAGGAGGACCCCATATCTGCTGTGCCACCAATCAAAAATAACATTCACAAAATGCAACAAAAAAAAAAAAAGCATTCCAACATTCTCGTTGTGACAGAAAAGAAAGATCTAAAAATAAATCAACAGTAGTTCATGTTGAAAGTAAATTGCAGTTAATCATAAAGAAAGCGGTGGTGATGCTTTGGGGTTAATTAACAGGCACAAGCACATTTATTCTAGAGATAAAGATAATGAGCCAGCATGGACGGCGTGCACACAAACACACCACCATGTTGGCTCTAAGTGAGGGAGTTACATACAGTGGAAGGCCTTTTCTGCTTTTTGGATTTCCGTCTGGACTTGTGCTTTGAGCCCCTTGACTTTGTGTTCTTTAAAAAGGAGAAAGAGGAATGACCAAGGGAAGATAGTGGAGGAAGGAGAAAGGAAGAGAGGTGAGTAAATAAAATGAAGGAAAAGAAAGACAGAAAAGAGAATAACATAAAGAAGAGGAAAACAGACAAAAATAATAAAAAGGTACAAAACACGTTGGCAAAGTGAAGGGCAGAGAGTAAAGAGAGAAGGAAAGAAAACAGTGATACAAGTTACTGAACTGGAAGCACTGAGAGACTGAAAGAGCAACAGACAGGAGGTGGACTGTGGAACAGAGACACACGACTCTAAGGCCTGCTGAGACCTCACAGTAGAACTTCAAGATCATTCAAGGTCTACTTGACTAAGACAGTCTTCTACAAACATAACTTTACTTTCATGTTATATATTGCAGTAAGTTACAGTGAAAATTCAAGGTAAAATGTAAACTGTTGTTTAAATAATTGACTGCGTTTCATTGTTTCTTTTAAAAGCAGAAATAGATTACTTTTTAAAAAGGATCATTTTTTAAGTTTTAACTTATCGACCTCTTGAACTGCTGACAGTGCTAAAAGTGAAATGAGGCTCCCCAGTCTACTGCCTCCCAGCCCCCCCTCAAACCACTGACCTGAAACTGCAGCCCAGCTGTGAGCGGGGGCACCCTGCTCTGGCCGAGTTTGGGCAGCATCGTCGGCAGCATGGAGAGCAGCATGAAGGGGTTCTGGGAGTCCTGCGGCACGGGGCTTAAGCTCCCACACATCTTTTCATCGCCTGCCAATCAAAACACACAATCACTTACAAATACTGTGCGTGAGAAATGGACGGTTGTCGATGTACGTTCGGTCCGGTGCGTGTAAAATAGTTCAATTCAGGCGTACCTGAGGTGCAGCATTCCCAGTGGCGTTGGACCAGCTCTTTCATCCAGCCGACCAGCTGCCGCCACACATCATCAAACAGCAGGTCGAGAACAGCTTGACGGCGACACCGGTACGGAGAGACCGGGGGCATAGAGTGATGCCTCCGACCCGACTCCGAAGAATCCGGCTCCCACTCGTCCTGCCTGCACAAGGCAGATATAGAAAGTCATTTTAAAAGCTGAGGTTTAGATATAGACTCTGGCGTTAGAACACAACTGTGCCACATAAGGACAGCGAGTATCTCACAAGTCCCCGCTATCGAAAGCCAGATATTCCTCCATCAGGCCCTCCTCTTCAATCAGTCTGGGCTTGTCGTGACTGCTGGAGCCACTGGAGGTGCCAGGAGGCTCATCCGACTCCGCTGAGGAGGCCGTGATCAGCGCCGCTCTCCTGCCCTGCACGTTCAACCTTTACACCCCCCCCCCCCCCCCCCACAAGACAAGGGCACACATAGTTAGGCACCTAAACATGTACACATACGCTCACAGACACAAGCCCACACATCCTGTGTGTTTTAATATGAATAAATGATAAATAAACTCAAGAGAAGGAAGATCGTCAGAAGAACTTTTACAGTATACGCACGCATGCACAGGCTCACACTAACACGCCGCATAGTGACATTAACAAACTCCTTTATGTCAACTTAGTTTTAAAATTGGCCGTCCTTGCAAACTGTTCATCATCCCAGCTGGTCAACATGACCCACCAAACTTGATTAAGAAGCCGGAGCATCTAGGTCACGAAACCACAGAGTCAGCCAGGACTCCTCTATAATTGATGCCCTGACACCAGTCATCTGGACAGCCGACCAACAGCCACTCGAGATGGAGAGGCATAATATTTCTGAGATAATAATGAAGAAATAATAAAGAAACAAAAAGAAGTTCCTTTTGTGTCCTTTTGACATCAGTGCGGTTAGGACTTACTCTGTGCTCTTATCTTTCTCCTGGGACTCCACGCTGCTCTCTTTGCCTGATGATGTGCTGCCGGCAGAGCTGCCTTTCCCTGAAGTATCATACCACTGGAAGCCCTTATCGCTTGGTAACATCAGCTGAGTCCCCAGGATCCTGAGCGACACACACACACACACACACACACACACACACTGTTTTCATTCAAGAGTTGATTTTTCAGCATTCATCTTTGATTCCCACTTGAGCCCTGCAGTAAAAGGTGAGGAGGTTGGTGGGGAACCGTGGAGAACATACCGGAGATGTGGGAAACGTGTGGCCCACTGCTGACACTCATCGTGCAGCCCCTGGAGTATCCCTCCCCCGCTGCCTCTCCCCTCGTACAGCTCTTTGTCGATCTCCTCAAACATTTGCTGCACCTGCCGTGATGCTGCCTTGTCGAACTCCTACGGGACCGGAAAAACAAAAAGAGATGGAAAGCTCAGTCATTCCTCTGTTCTCATACACCGGCTATATGACAGAAAGCTGCTGCTTTTCAGTTATTGCTACCATATCGCTGTTCCTTTTTTAAAAAAAATCATCATGGCAAGCCTCAACATGCATAATAATTAGCCCCTATGGCCCTTTGAGATGTCTGTATGCGTTTGAGGTCAAGCGGGATTGATTTTATGCTCCGATAAAAAAACTGAGAGAAAGAGAGAAAGAAGTGAGTTAGTCTGTGTAACTGAATTATTGTTTGTTTTTTTCCTCCTTTCCCAGACACAGCTTGAGGACAACTCACTAAATAAATAATTGAGTCCTAGAAAAGTTTTGGAGGACCAGCTGAGGCTAGAAAGCACAGAATAATAACAAACCAATACCCCGTGGAATCGTCTGGCATATAAAAAGAAGAAGCAGACAAATGAGGCACCTTCCACGGGTTTGCCAAAAGGTGACAAATGTTAGGAAGTAAATCAAAATCTGACATTAAAACGTGCATGAAAGTATGTCTTTAGCGTCTTTTTTATTTTTGCAACACAATAACAATGATGTCTGCGTGTGTGTGTGTGTGTGTGTGTGTGTGTGTTTCTAAGATCTCTGGAGTAGACTTACATCGTAGCCCCAGGAGAAAACAGAGCTCCTCTCTGTGGAGATGCCGGTGCCTGTAGAGCTGTGGATGCCGGACCAGGACTGGTTGGAGTCGACTGAAATGACGGTTGGGCAGTCGGAGTGGCCCGAGGCAGCAGACGTGTCTGAGCTGCATAGAAAGGACAAGAAGTCGTAGGTATATATACAGTTTGATGAGTAATGTTTCACCGCTTCTCAGTCAATTATACAAACACCGTGACTCTCTATGTCACAACATAAACCGGGTCTCTGTTATGTGGCTGCGTAAATCTTACTGATGGTGGTTGCTGACATAATCAAAAGGCAAGGTTTCAAAGTGGAAAATAAAGGGCAAATGTCAAAGTAATTGAATATTCCAGCAGCCTGACTCATTATGTATTCTTTTAACTGCACATCTGAAGGAGGCAATGTGATATCAATTAATCCACTGCTTCTGGGTGTCTCGTTTCACACAGCAAGAGCCCTGAGAATCAGCTGTCCACTCGAGACAATACATAAGATTACGAAAGACACAGGGAAGAGTATTTTTGTGTACTAGTTCCAAGTGGTTTCATCTTGGCCTTACTCTGGAAAAAAAGGTTTATCTCCTGGCAGAAGAAGTCAGGGCTGCCTGTCTGCTGCCTGACCAGAACTCAGTTACCTGTTGTGAGCGGAGACAGTTTCCTGGAGGTCATGGAGGTACCGCTGAGGCATTTGGTTATCGTCTGCCTCCTCTGGGAGAGGGTGGTGGTCAAGGCTACTGCGAGACAACCCACGTCTGCATGAAAGATTGAGAACATCAATCAAATGTGTTTAATGTTAGTGATGGGCTTACAATCACAACATGACAAAACATCATGAAAATACAGTTAAAACAGCTGATTGTCCACATGAACTTTATCATAATTCTTGTTGTATCTAACACAAATAATGTGACTTTTACTTTACAGACCTTGTTCAGTAGCTGGATCAATACAAATATTATTTCCCCATCATTAGTCAATCCCTCATCTCACGTCCCTCCAGTGTATAATAACAACCTTCATCCTCAAACCTGTGTTTATAGTGCTCAACTGGTAACGTCACAGTTACAAATCCGGGTACTTCGGTACTCACATCTCAAGTTTGTGCGATACAGGTCTTCTGTTGTACCGTGAAATCATTCTCCACTTGTCTCCGCTTTATCGGCTCAAGCCCTGGTCTCTCATCCTTGCCTCCACGTCCTGGACTCGCTGGGAACTGTACAGAGGGAGGTCCAACATCTCCACTAGTCCGCAGATAAACGCCCTTAGAGCAGTGGGAGCTGGACGAGGCTTTGGCTACATATGCTATATGCTAATAGGTACATATGCTAACGTTGCTTCTAACTGTTCGCAGGATGCTATAAGCTAGCTATCGTTGCATGGATAGACAGATAAAACATCAGCAAGGCACGAACGGCATTGTACATTTAGTAATTAGCATCCTGTGTGGTCCAGAAGCTGCTGATCAATTACGTTTACATTTTAAAATATAACGTTAGTAAAGCGAGCTATCGCCACCTCAGAGGAAATTCGTGCTAACGCTAGCATCAGCAACAACAATAATAATAAGGCTGTCATGGATACGCAGCTCCGTTGTCTCACGGGAAATAGATTTCGGACTACCTACAAAATAGCTGTAGGATTATCAGCCATTTCACCACAACTCCCAGCATGCATTGCGCAGCGTGATTGCGTCCCTGAAATGTAGTCGCTTGCCGTTGGTGAATTCGACTGAACTAAAAATGCGAATTATGTAATGAATCATGACATTTTTATGAAATTCAGTAGTAATCTGTTTTATTTAGGATGTACAGCCATTATTTATTATTATATTTATTGGTACAACAGTGAAAATAAGTAAATATAAAACGTAGGAACTGTTATTTGTTGCACCATTGTGGAAGTCGAGTGGAATTGGCAGTAGGACCTAAACAGTGACAGATGGCGTGCTAGCAACGTTCGTAGAAATGAGAAAAGTTTAATTTCTCTCCTGCATTGACATCCCTCTGTCCTACCATCTCACATTTATAAACAGAACAAGGTAAGACACTTAAAAGAGATTTTCCTGTGATATATTGTTTGTGGTGAGTTGTTACATAATGTTAGCCTTTAAACCTTAATACTTCTCTCCTACTTTTTTTCTGACTCTAGTCAGTCATTGAAAAACTACGATGGACGGCCTGCAGAGGAGAGTGATTCAGGAAGACATGGTTCAGTACAAACTGTTCTTGCTCCAGACAGACGGTCCAGCTTCACAGCAGACTGAGGAGCATCTCACACGTCTGGTAGAGGAGATTCTGGCGAAGGTCGCCTCACTCCTGATACAATACATCTGGCAGCATCAGTCATTCAACCTCAAGTTTCATTCTGAGAAAGGTATTGTGTTGTCAGCACCTCAGAGATGAATTGATTGTGTATATACATATGCATATATGTGTTGTGTCGACAGGTGGTGTACCTGCTCACATTGGAGGGAGCACTCAGTTTGGGGACAACGTGGAGGACGAGTGGTTTGTTGTTTATCTCTTGCAGCAAATCACAGAGGCCTTCCCAGAGCTCATAGCCAGGTGAGACAAAATGTGCTCTGAGTTTGTCTTTAAAAAAAAAAAAAGAATAAATATCAAATGATTTCATTGCCATATTACAGTACTTAAACAGGGAGCCGTTTCAGTTGTTTGTTTATCGGTTTCTAACTTCCATTCCGTGTTTGTGTGTGAAGGGTTGAGGACAACGATGGAGAGTTTCTTCTGATTGAAGCAGCAGATTATCTTCCCAAGTGGCTGAGTCCAGACACCAGTGAAAACAGGGTGAGTCCAACTTATCAGATCTTTGTAGTCTTTTAGTCTTAGCCCTTTAAGTACAAACCATCTCCCAATGCGTGATTGATAGCCCACCTTGTTTTTCAGTTATTTTGAATAAAATAACAATAAAAAACACATTTGAATCCTTTTGGTCTGATTTGTAAATGGTTAACATTAGTGTAAAGTAATCACATATGTAGGTAATGCAACAGAACATGTAGAACCACTCATATGGCCCATTATAAATATATTCATATTGTCTGTATTTAACCTGCTGTGTGTAACCTTTATTTTTCACTAATTCTCTTTGTAGGTCTTCCTCTATAGGGGAGAGTTGCATATTCTGCCCTGTCCCTCCAAATCCAGTCCAGTGGGGGTCTCGAAAGATGTGGTACCAAGTGTGACACAAGCTATAGTACTGCTCTCCACCCACCCAGGGGCCTGCAGGGCAAGCCCCAAGATATGTTCAGCCCTGAGGAAGCGATTAGAGGGGTGAGAGGATGTCTCCCTGTGTTAAACTCTACTTTTGATACACAAATGTGTTGCAAAGTCAATGCCATTGACAAGTATATATGCTTTCCAGTATGTATGCTGTACCCCCCCTGGACCTATTTTTACAGTAAAGAGGAAAAAAGTTAAATGTCAGAATCCAATTTTCATGGTACAGAATCAGTGTTTGATACTTCTTCACTACAAACTTGATAAAACACCTGCATCAGCATAAGACCGGCTTGTTAACGGTCTCATAAATATTTTATGTAAGTGGATGGAATAATATATGAGACTATAAATGTATCGATAATGAAAATGCAAATCCATCTCTACTCTCTACTCAGGTACCCAGAGAAGATAAGAGCTGGCCTCCAGCGTGCCCACTGCTTCATACCTTCAGCTATCGCCATGGTGTTGGCACAACGACCAGACCTGGTCGCCCCTGCAGTGTCGGCGTTCTACCTGCGGGATCCAATAGATCTGCAGGCGTGTCGAAGTTTCAAGACCTTTCCTCCCGACACAAGAGTCCTCACCTCGGTAAACGCACTTAGAGATTCATGATCATAGCGGGTTTTCTTTTCAAAGAAAGGCAATTATTTCACAATACTGCTGACTGTAATCACTGTTTGTGTTTTAGTTTTTAATTAGTATGTTCAGCTTTTGTGAAAAGCTGCAACCTTGTACTGTTCTGTATGTTTATGTATTTCCAGGTGACATTCAACCGTTGCCTGTACGCCCAGTTGCAGCAGCAGCAGTTCATTCCAGACAGGAGGAGCGGCTTCACCCTGCCTCCTCACTCTCACCCCCAGTACAAATCCCACGAGCTCGGCATGAAACTGGTGAGCCATCATCTGTGTTTCCTCTTTATTCTGATCTGGCTTTCGGATGAATAAATGTATGCATTTGGTAGAATGCAAGGTGGCCCTTTAGTGTTGTATTTGATGATGTGTCTGTTTCTGTATGTATGTGTGT